GAGATCCTTCTCACTGGTAACGAGGTACGGCATCTTAGCCCTCAGGGCTGGCTCATTTGTCACCCTTACGTATAATGCTGTCACTTTCGTATGGTCAGTGACGAGAACTAGATATCCTTCTTTCTGGTAACGAGGTACGGCATCTTAGTCCTCAGGGCTGGCTCATTTGTCACCCTTACTTATAATGCTGTCACTTTCGTATGGTCAGTGACGAGAACTAGAGATCCCTCTTACTGGTAACGAGGTACGGCATCTTAGCCCTCAGGGCAGGCTCATTTGTCACCCTTACTTATAATGCTGTCACTTTCGTGTGGTCAGTGACGAGAACTAGAGATCCTTCTTACTGGTAACGAGGTACGGCATCTTATTCTATTATTTATCTTATTTATCTTCTGCTATTACCGTAACTTTGAATAGTTCGATTAACCCACGAAATCAAATTTAAGTTAATTAATTTGCATAAATATAAGAAATCTACATATAACATACTATTAATTTAATACTATACTAAACTTTATTAGCATATTATACCAAATAATGAGTTTACATTGCCATACAACTAGCAGTAATCTTACCATCGTAACCACAGACTATAGTTATGAGCAAAGAGCGTAATATAACCTATAGCGCTACGAGTATGTAATAGCGATCCATTTTTGCAACCAGTATATAATTGAATGTCGATTATGTTTTCTGTTACGACAATATTTACACTTTCGGATTCCGAGTAACTATTATTTATTCTGTGGCAACAGGCAGATATGTGGGTGCCATCGCGTGCCATAGATCAAATAGCTGTAGGCAACATTTGTACAAATCACAAATTCTTTCGGGGTTGTTTGTTTCAATTTTTTTACGTTATTAACTTTGCATTATTATGACAAGTGCATTAGTGTTGGCGCATACACTTATCTTCCATCTATGTAATGTATAAAAGTTTATGCTTGTTTGTTTTTATTTTATGCGCTATGTTTATCAGATTGCGGTAAAACTTTGTCAACTTATTGTTTGCACTTACGGGAAGATTATAGACATAGTAGAAATATTAGATTATAGATGTTATTACATATAGTATAGATAGTACAGTAGTAGGTGTCGCCCGTATCGTACTGACGAATTCATAGGTCTGACTGGCCATCCGCCACTAATTATTGTATCGGCGTATATACCGCCGCTTAAATGAGTACACCTTCAGGTCACTCTACAAGTCCGGAGGTAACGTCTCATCATAACTAACAAAACGAATCCAAGCTCGGTACACCTAGTTCTACTCTTTAAGGAGTTCAAGTAGGATTCACCGAAGTACACCTTCAGGTCACTCTATCAGGTCCGGAGGTAAGTTCTCATCAAAACTAACAAAACGAGGCCAAACTCGGCATATCTAGTTCTACTCTTCGAGGAGTTCCGTAGCAATCATCGAAGTACAAATTCAGGTCACTCTACCAGGTCCGGAGGTAAAGTCTCATCATAACTAACAAAACGAGGCCAAACTCGGCACACCTAGTTCTACTCTTCGAGTAGTTCCAGTAGCATTCACCGAAGTACACCTTCAGGTCACTCCGTCAAGTCCGGGGGTAAGGTCTTGTCATAACTAACATAACGAGTACAATCTCGGCACACCTAGTTTTACTTGTCGAGGACTTCCAGTAATTATAAAGTTTTTAGTGAAAACTTGTGTGTAATTAAACTACTTTAAAATTTTTATTATAATCATGTTATACGTAATTTTTTAATGCGCTTAAGCCATGCACAATTGGATTTACCAATAGTTTAATTTTCATTTGCAAGTTGATTAAAATGAACTATTGAAATTGGGATAAAGAAAAAATTGTATTCCTGATTTTTAAAATATATTATTTACGTGTTTTAAATTTAGCGCTCTATTATTTTAACAGGTACCACCTACAGGGGAAAAAAATAATAATGTTTATCAAAATAAATCGATTACACAAAGTATAAAATCGATTTAAGCTGTATGGTACTCGTACATTTGTCCTTTGTCTATCAAGGGCTAAAAAATCTGTTCACCAACGACATTCCCATCCCGTCGAAAGGTGTTCAGCTCTCCCTCTTCGCAGACGACACTGCCCTCTATTGTAAACGTATCTCGCTACCTCTCATACTGAACAAGATCCAAAAGTCAGTTGATGACTTAGGAGCTTGGTTCCAAAAATGGCGCATCGATGTGAATCTGGAGAAGAGCTCCGCCGTTCACTTCGATTATAAACGACGCCGCCTCAAAAACACCCCTGGGATTATTGTAGGGGACCCCTGTCCCCTACAATATATAATGTTTTATATATTGTAGGGGACAGGGTACGTTTTTATCTGAGTAGGCTCAACAGTACGCTGGGCCGACACAGTAAAATGTCCCTCCGAAACAAGCGAACCCCTTATAAGGTCTGTATATGACCAGTCATGACTTACGCGGGCCCTATATTTGCCCACGCTGACCCCAAAATCGTTAATGAACTCCAATTAGTTCATAACCTCTTCTGTCGTCGAGCTACGAACGCACCCTGGTACGTCCGTAACGCCGGCCTCCATCGGGACTTAGAGCTCCCTACAATTCAACAATTTCTAAAAACACTCTGTGAGAACTTCTTCAAAGCCTCAGAGTCTCACTCCAATCATTTCATTCGTGAGGCAGCTACTTATGCAGCCCCACTCCTCTCTCGTTATCGAGTCCGTAGGCCGAGAAACTCTCTCTCAGACCCGCCAAACAAACTTTCAACCGACCTGATCTGCCTCCTGGCGGCTCAGGCAGACTCTTCTTAAATTTGCCTTAGTAGGCTTACCCTCAGTGGCTCGTAGCCGCCTGCGCCCCGTTTTCCCAAAAGAGGGTCGCTTCCGATTCGGCAGAAAAACCTCATAAGCCAATGCCAGTCTCACAGGTGGTGTTTAATGGGTACACTTAGGGTGGTTAAGTTAGGTTAGTCACAGTGAGATCCACATAACCACGACAGCCGTTTGTCGTGGTATGCATAAAGCATTCACCACCTCCCTCTCGTTTACGGGGGTAGCCCTTTTCAATTGCTTCTGGGTACAAAAAAGGGCTAAAAAATAAGAAAGCGCCTCTAAATTTTTAATAGCAATAAAACTTATAAAACTTGACAATCATTTTATTAACAAACAACGCCTACTAAGCTATTGATATGAAATAGGGAACCAGTTGATGTACTTCTGAAGCTAATAAAAAAACCTGGTCTCGATAGGTCTCGTCAATTTTTTCGGGAGTTATCATGACCACATCTGTCGTACCGCCAAATGAGACAACTCAACTCAAAACAGTTATAACTTTAATTCGGATATACATATGTCCGAATATAATACGAGTATATACTTATGCTATTTATGAGTTTTGACAAGAAATCTGCATTTCAACTATGTATGTTATTACCTCTCACATTACAGCAATCCAGTAGTTGTCATTCAAACGTTTCCATGACGTCACGAAAGAGTGCATGAATGTCATCAAGGTATCGATATCGACACGTAGGTCTAGGTTCCCATACTATACATATTTTGAGCCCAGAGTTAATCAGAGACTCATACTTGCGTGGTAGAGCCGTACTGCAGCTATATTAGTAGTATAGTTGTAGCACCGAATGGGTTGGCTCGACCAGTACTATACTACAATATATAATATCTAATAGCCATATTTCTGGTATAGTTGTAGCACGAATGGGTCGGCTCGACCGGGGAAGGACCACGCTCTCACAGAATACCAGCGTAAAATAGCAGCTTAACGCTGCTGTGTTTCGTATGATGAGTGTAGAGAACCGGAGACCCATTTTACTGGCAAAGAGGCATTCCATCTTAGTCCTCACGGGTGACAACGCATCTGCATCTTGAGTCTTTATTGCGGATAGATGTATGTCTATGGGTTACAGTAACCACTTACCATCAGGTGGAGTGTGTGCTCGTTTGTCACTCTATCCATTAAAAAAAAAAGAGTACACGGGTTAATTGTTTATAATTCAATTTTACATAAGGTATTTGCCAGGCCCTGTAATACCGTACGCCGTATATTGTCACGTCACAGGCCACGCTTTGCAATGCGATGGATAAAACAACTTTACTATTTGCTCAACAACGTCACGTTCCCGATATTCTTCTCTCGGTTATAATGGTTAAAGCGTGGATTTAGTTTATCGACTAAGGCTTTATTACAGATAATGCGGTTCAAATATTTAGCCTTCTAGAGGTAACTGAGGTGATAAGGCGTTCATCCTAAAATTCCTTACTACGCAAACAGATTCCGGTCGCTGCTGGCTTGTCAATGAAATTGTTAACTCCATATTTAAATACAGATTTATCAGTGTGCTTGATGGTAAAGAAAACATCGTGTTGAAATAGTGCATATAGGAGTATTTAAAGTATTTCGAGAACATGGGAAATCCGGCGACACGGACTGTGGTAATGCCGCGGTCTCTTTCCTGCTGCAGAAATAAAAGGTCTATATCCAGTTGTGGGTTATGCAAGCTACAGCCTATAAAATTCCACTGCTGAACATAGGCCTTCCAAATAGATTACCTCATACGGGGGGTTTGCCATAGTTGCCACGCTTGACGGGCGGATTGGGAACCGCAGTTTTCTTTGATGCTTTGTCACCTTTTACTAGAACTACTTTTAGTAGATATTCTTACACCGCCACTACACGGTTAGTAACAACTTCATCAATTATTTTTACTTCCAGTTTTTAAGTTTTGTATACATTATCACTGTTAAATATAAAACAGAACTGTAAAATTATAATTAATTTATTTCCAAAAACTTAAAATTACATTGTCCTAATTTCACACGAGGTTTATGCCAGCCCTGTAAGAGAAAACAACTGCAATGTCCATATAAATACATAGTAAGTACATGGAAATAATTATTTCATTATAAAATTAATTATATAAAATATTTAATACAGTCCCAATGTACAAACAACCACATCTTCCTACGTTTAAAAAAATACAAAAATCGAAGTATATTTAAATACATAAAACAAATTAAATTTTAGCTTTGGCCAAAAACGGTTTAATATATTTATGGAAGCTTTGGTTTACGGGCTCAGAGTTCAGTGGACTTTTCATTGCCTGCTCCATCAAACGCTCGTACACTCGGCCGTCATATGCACCAAGGGTAGAACACAGAATCTAAGGATAACAGAAAATTAAACGTTAAGTCTGCGCACAACGCAAAGTCAAGCAGTCAAACAAAGAATAATTGAATCTTTAGCCGACTACAAAAAAGGAGGAAATTTACAATTCGACCGTATGTTTATTTTTTGTATATAATATGTTGCGCGATATATCCTTAAATTGTGAATCGATTTTCATTAATATTTTTTATCATATAGCTCAATAGTGATCCCATATAAAATTGGAGAAAAAGTTTCACACATAAGGATGGTAAAATACAGGTGAAGTTTTTAATGTACTGTTCAGACATTATTAAGAATGTGATATTCTTTCATCAATCAATCCACTCTAAAAGGTAAAAAATACCTTTTGATAAACAGTATAAGCCTAAAAAAACTAAAATTAATTTTGAAATCGGGACACACACGGGACAGTGCTGTAATTTTGAAATACGTAATACATATTTTCTCAATTGAAGAAACTACAGTCACCTCTATTTTTCGGCTATTGTAGTTCTGTTCTCAATCGGGTACGAATATTGAGAACAAAATTAGATAACTGTGTAGTGGCCGCTTTAGAATATCCTCTACCTCGTATGGTCCCGCGAGTGTTTTAAGAGACGACAGAGATAGTAATAACAAAAAAAAATATAATACTGTGGTTGCCAACCCGCCTACCAAATGCGACAACTATGACAAATATCATTTACATACGTGGTAGAGCCATGTTGCAGCTATATTAGTAGTATAGTTTTAGCATGAATGAGTCGGCTCGACCGAGGAAGGACCACGCTCTCACAGAATACCAGCGTAAAATAGCAGCTTAACGCTGCTGTGTTCGTGTGGTGAGTGTGGGAACCGAAGTCCCTTTTTACTGGAAACGAGGCATTCCATCTTAGTCCTCAGGGGTAACAACGCATCTGCATTTTCATTTTTAATCGAGGATAGGTATTGTTGTTGCTTCGTAACAGTCCCGATATATTATCATTTTCCTAAGTATTTCCTATCCTTCCGTATTGTAGCAATGAACCCTGTAAAGCTAGATGGATAGGATCTGAAGATTGCAGACATTCGGGAGCGAATGGATGGGGTACTTCAGGACGATGACGAAAGCTTAAAGTTTTGGCTTCCGAAGGTTGCATATTGCGTGTTCAGATCACATCGGGGTCACCAATTTGGCAGTAGAATGAAAAGGGGAGATCTCCGGCCGGGCAAAATGATCGGCCTGGCAGCGGCCAACGCACCGTGTGCTAGTACAGACCTGTTCCATATGCAGTACTTTGGAACTTTGATAGCGTTATTTAGATTTCGGTTGTGGCATGACGACAGCGCCACCACAAGTTCATTACATATTCACTACTGAACCTAGGCCTTGAACATAAATTGATTCATGGGGGATATCTGGCATAGTTGCCACGGTTCACAGGCAAGTCGGCAACCGCCGTTTTTTTAATTAATATTAAGTTGATATCAGGAAGATGCTGCTGGCCTATCTCATGTTCTAGTTTCCTTCTATCACATATATTACAATACCCACGGGATGGTAGTGGACTCAACGCCACCACTACACGGAATAACTTGAAGCGTGCTGTTAATTACCATGTCTCTGAACTACGAGTATAACTAATATTCGTATACAACAACTCAAAACTACATACAAAACAACAGGCTACTTGGGTATGTGCATATGTGCATGCGTTTGCGTGCGTGCGTGCGTGTATGTGTGTGTATGTGTTTCAAGGTAAAATATACTAAAGATTTTATATAAATAGGTATTGATGTGTGGTGGCGGATTAAGAATATCCATCACACCATTTCGTCTCGTGGGTGTCGTACTATGGAATATGGCAAAAATATTTCATGACTTCTGAAAGATGACGGTATAACCACCTTGATTACGCCAGACAAAAAACACCCAAACCGGCAACGGAGAGCAGTTTTAAAAATGCGAGACGTTCGGATCAGCGCTCGCAAATACGCCTGACAAGCAAACGGTTAAAGCAGATCCTCCCTGCAGTGGGAGAAGCCCAAAAAACAACAGTGGACTTTTACGGGCTCGTGATGAAGAAACAGAAAAAGAAACAAAAACTTTTTTATTCAATATCACTGAGTTATATGTACTATGTACAAAACTAAACTACTCCACTCCTGGGCGTGGGTGCTCAGCGAGGGATTCTCCAAGGGTGCTGGTACCCTCCTGGGGTAGTCTTCTGTTCAATTACTATTTTATATTAATATCTTATTTTATATTAAATTAAAGTCTTCGCGCATGCGCGCGCTCATGCAAAATTCCGCTTGCGACTGATTCTGCTCAGGGCAAGCGGAGCAATAAGACTAAGGCGACCCTTTTCACGCTATCCGTGAATTTTTGCAATATCAGGGGACTTCATTCCAACCTTAACGCTGTCCATTACCATCTAGAGACGGCGAAGCCGGCCTTGCTCTTTTTAACCGAGATTCAGGTGTCCTCTCCGGCTGATACTTCATATTTCTTCTACCCGGGGTACAAATTTGAAAAAACACTCCTTTGTGCCCCGGGCTGGAGTTTGCGTATACGTCAGAGAGGACAACTGTTTTCGACGCATCGGCAGTCTTGAAGGTACGGACCTGTCCATCCTATGGCTGCGCGTAGACAGCGACAACCATCCCCGCGTCTACGGGTGCCTCTATAGGTCCCATAGCGGTAATGCCGACACAGACCGACTCATCGACCACGTCCAAATGGCTGCAGACTCCGTGCTACAACAGGTCCCATCCGCAGAGATCGTGATACTCAGTAATTTCATCGCCTACCACGCTGAATGGCTTGGTTCTCGTTTAACCGATCATGTGGATAAATCTGTCTATGACTTTGCCTTGGCATATGGCTAACACAACTGGTCACTTCGCCTACGCCGATCCCAGATGTGGAGGATCATGTACCTTCCCTGTTGGACCATCTGCTGACCTCTCATCCGGACGGATATCAGGTCTCCGTCGATGCCCCTCTGGGCTCTTCGGACCATTGTCTGATTCGGAGTACAGTGCCACTCCCATCGCAGTTGCGATCTGCAGCTTACCGCCGTGTTTGGCACTATAGGTCAGCCGATTGGGACGGGATGCGGTTTTTTTTTGCATCCTACCCTCGGGGGCGGGTTTACTTCTCGCCGGAAGATCCCAGCCTTGTTGCCGATTCTGTTGCTGATGAGGTACTTCAGGGTATGGAACTTTTTATTCCATCCTCTGTGGTGCCCATTGGAGGCAGATACCAGCCATGGTTTGGCCGCTCCTGTAAAATAGCTTCACGCTACAAGCAGGAGTGCTACCAGGCTTGGGCTGACGTATCAACGTCCCGGGATGTAATCACCAGCGCTCTTAAAAAGAACTATAATTCCGCATCCAGGTGCTTCAAAAGTGTTATTGCCAAGGCAAAGTCAGAGCACATCGGCAGAATTGGCGAGAAACTAGTTCGCCTCCCTTCGGGAACACGTGCATTATGGTCTCTCGCCAAGGCTGTCCAAGGGAACTTCTGTCAGCCATCTCTACCATCTCTGCACAGGGTGGACGACTCACTGGCCCATGACGCAAAGAAGAAAGCCGATCTGCTAGGCTCTCTTTTTGCTTCCAACTCTACTCTAGATGACGGGGAAAACACCGCCGACCATCCCGCGGTGTGAGTGCTCCGTGCGGGAAGTGCTGTTTACACAGCGCTTGGTGCGTAAAGCACTCCTCTCCCTGGACGTCAACAAGTCGAGTCGGCCTGATGGAGTCCCGCCTATTGTGCTGAAGACGTGTGCTCCGGAGTTGGCACCGGTTTTAACGCGTCTTTTTCGGTACTCCTACTCCCTAGGCGTAGTCCCGAACTCATGGAAGACAGCCTTGGTGCACCCGATCCCTAAAAAAGGCGACCGCTCAGATCCGTCCAACTACAGGCCTATCGCTATCACCTCCTTGTTCTCCAAAGTAATGGAAACTATTATTAACAGCCAGCTCATGCGGTACCGTGAGGATCACCAGCTGATTAATGATACCAGTACGGTTTCCATCGAGGTCGCTCAGCTGGTGATCTTCTGGTCTACCTGACTCATAGATGGGCGGAGGCAGTGGAGTCCAAGGGGGAGGCATTGGCCGTTAGTTTGGACATAGCGAAGGCTTTCGATCGGGTTTGGCACAAAGCGCTACTTTCGAAGCTGCCTTCCTATGGGCTTCCCGAGAAATTGTGCAATTGGATCACCAGTTTTCTTGCAGATCGGAGCATCAAGGTCATCGTAGTAGACGGTGCATGCTCCGATTACAAGCCCATTAACGCTGGTGTTCCACAAGACTGCGTGCTATCACCAACGCTGTTTCTTCTGCATATCAATGATATGTTGCAAACCAGTAACATTCATTACTATGCAGACGATAGTACAGGTGATGCTTTATACACCGGTCGTGCCAATATTTCTCGGGAAAACGTCGCCGAGTACCGGAACAAACTTGTGTCTGAAGTCGAGATTTTGTTGAACAAAGTCTCAGACTGGGGGCGACTAAATCTAGTCCAGTTCAATCCCCAAAAGACACAAGTTTGCGCGTTTACCGCTAAAAAGAATCCCTTTGTCGTATCTCCTCAGTTTCAAGGCACTCCCCTTGTTGCCTCAGCCAGTATCGGTATCCTCGATGTCGACATATCGAGTGACGTGCAGTTTCGTGGTCACTTGGAAGAGAAGGCCAGATTGGCCTCTAAAAAGCTTGGCGTGCTCAGCAGAGCGGGACAGTATTTCAAGCGGGCGCACCGCTTGCGACTTAACAAAGCGCAGGTTCGGCCTCACATGGAATACTGTTCCCATCTCTGGGCAGGGGCTCCCCAGTGCCAGCTCCTTACACTTGACCGCATCCAGCGCAGAGCGGTTCGAATCGTCGTCGACCGAGTTCTTTCCGATGGGCTTGACTTACTGGCACTGCGTAGAGATGTTGCATCTCTTTGCGTATTTTATAGCATCTACCACGGTGAGTGCTCTGAGGAATTATTCGGACTAATTCCAGCCGCTCAATTTCACTATCGCACATCGCGACAAAAGTCGCGATACCATCCATATCATCTGGATGATTGGCGGTCCATTACTGTGCGATTCAGAAGAAGTTTTCTCCCTCGCACAACTTCCTTGTGGAATCGATTACCACCAGCGATTTTTCCGGACCTATACGACTTAGGGACCTTCAAGAAAAGAGCGTACTCCTTTTTAAAAGGCCGGCAACGCATCTGCGATTCCCCTGGTGTTGCAGTTGTTAATGGGCGGCGGTAGTCACTTACCATCCGGTGAGCCGCATGCTCGTTTGCCCCCTCTCTAATAAAGACAAAAAGTAAATATAAGAATTTAATATAAAATACTGTTATTTTAATCTAAACAAACATATTTCCAAATAAAATGTAATAATATTTATCTTATGGAATTCACAAATCTTCAATTTACGCAATATTTAGTTTAGTGTATGGATTGCAGTACAGTTCAGTTGAACATAGTCAATGTTCGAGATGCGAAATCTAGTGCGTACTCGTAGTACATATAAATCGATGTTCAATATAGATTATATATAATGTAATAACTTAAAGTAAAACGATATGTGAAATAAGAATAGAAAGGGAGTTGGTAGAGCAAGTAGATGAGTTTGTATATTTGGGATGTGTGTTTAGCAGGGATGGTAGATATGATAAGGATATAGAACGACGAGTGAATGCAGGAAATAGAGTGAATGGGGCTCTACACTCTATTGTGAAAAGTCAGAATGTGTCCAAAAAGGCACGTATGGCAATTCACAATGCTGTGTTAGTACCTACTTTAATGTATGATAGTGAAAGTTGGGTGTGGCAGAAGAAGCATGAGAGTAGAATAAATGCTGTAGAAATGCGGTCATTAAGGAGTATGTTAGGGATGAAGCTAAATGACAGAGTGAGAAATTGTTTAATAAGAGAAGAGTGTGGTTTGCAAGATGATGTTGTGACCAGGATTAAGAAAGGAATGCTTCGGTGGTTTGGCCATGTAGAAAGAATGAATGAGGAAAGAGTGACAAAGCAAATTTATGTTGCAGAGGTGAACGGCATAGTCGGGAAGGGTCGCCCTAGGCGAAAGTTTATCGACCAAATTGGCGATATATTAAAAATGGGCCAAATCAAGAGTACCTTTAACCGACGAGCGTGTATGCGTAGGTATATGGATGTGGAGGAAGCGAGAGAGGTGTGTCAGGATCGTGCCAAATGGAAGTCCATAATCTCTGCCTACCCCTCTGGGTGACAGGCGTGAGTGTTTATGTATGTATTATGTATTAAAGTAATATAATATAAAGTCACTCTTTTGTTTAATTAAGAAAAATAATTTATACCTCGTCCCGTATATCGAATCCGTCGACAAGTCCAACAGCGTTCGGGCGAATGAGTGCCAACAGTTCTTCATACCTTTTTTGCAAGGTGGCAACATCTTTTTTCGATATAGTCGAATACTGTAAAAAACAGCAGAAAGTTAACCATTTACATTGAAATTATATCATAAATCTAGAAAAAGTATTTTGATATCACCCAATGAGGGCTAATAATCTTTCGCTCACCAGATGTCGCTAGTTGACACTGAGGAGAAGTTTTTTGTTTCACAATGTCATTTAATTAAGAAGTTTATGAGTTTCTAGAGTATTAGGTTAATACACAAAACAATGTCTCTTAAGTTTGTACTTTAGCTTTTTGCACATATTTAACTCTTTTTTTTATTATTTTGACTTTTATGTAGGTATATCTGTGGTTTGATTGATTGCTTTTTTTTCTAATTAGTATAAATTATAACTAGTAGTAAAGAAAAAAACATTAACCTTTACATTTTCCGAACAAATTAACTTCCCTGCTATGATATCTGTCAAATATTATACCTCATATTTAAGTGGCGCCGCCCTGGTGGGAAAATAAGTCGTGGATGCCCTCATTATTGGAAAGAGGTATTGCATAATACACAAATGAAAAATTTACGGTTGATCATACTTTGTGAAATAGTTTTTATTTTTTATTTTACCATTAACAGATCGCCACGTTTCTCCAGCGCCCAATATTTGAGATACAACTCGGCCAACTGTTCCAAAACCGTTGCCAAGTTATTAGACACGGTAGACGACAATCTTTTAGTTTCTTTCCAAAACATCTCACACAATACGGCGCGAGCGTGTGCCTGTAAAATAACAACTAACCTTATTCTTAAAAATTAATAAATATTATGTAATATTTTATTATATACCTACAAACAGACAAGATGGTGGATATAGCAAATCTCAATATTTGCACGCCTACGCAAAGCTCTCGACACATCAAGGTCAAGCAATTTTGTGTTCTTAAAATGCTTCTATCATAACCATATTGCAACTCTTATCTATGCCATATTGCACTTAAACGATAATGTGAGTAGCCGTATATCAAGAAAACACTCTAATCAATCCATCTTATATTTTCTAAAAATCATTTTATATTGGTACTTTGAAAAAAAATTTTATGTTGATTTTGTATGTGGTCACGATAACTCCCGAAAAAATTGACTTATCGCGTCCTGGTTTTTTTATTAGCTTCAAAATTACATCAACTGGATTCCTATTTCATATCAATTGCCTAGTACCGCGTAGTTTGCTAATGAAATGATTTACAACTTTTATAAGTTTTACTGCTATTAAAAATTTAAAGACTTTTTTTTAGCATTTGATAGCCAAAGAACAAATGTACTATACAGTAGGTAGCACTACCTGTTAAAATAATAGAGCGCTAAATTTAATACACATAAACAATATATTTTAAAAGTCAGGAATACAATTTATTTTTTTCGTCATATTTAGATGGAACGCTCATGAGGCGTGCACTTTTGAATTTTCCAAACTATTTTAAACATTATATTTAAAAAGTTGAGATTTGTTGAGATATAATATAAGTTTTGAAAACATATTTAACAGTGGTAGAGCCACGCGGCAGCTTTTGCTGTCGCACGGATGGGCCGGCTCGAACCGGGGTGGTACCACGACCTCACAGAAAACCAGCGTGAAGTAGAGGTTTACCTCTGCGTTTCACTTGGTGAGTGCAGGTGGCCGGAGGCCCTTTTTACTGGAAATGAGGCATTCCATCTTAGTCCTCACGGGTGACAACGCATCTACATTTTGATTTGTAATAGAGGATAGATGTAGATGTCTATGGACCGCAGCAACCACTTACCATCAGGTGGTCTGTGTGCTCGTTTGTCACTCTTATCCTATAAAAAAAAATATAATAGTATTTGTTTTCAAAACCAATAGTACTTATAAATACTTTAACTTTTTTTGACTGGTATAGAATGCACTATGAATTTGTAACCCTTAGCTTAAGTTGTTGCAATAAAAGATAAATAAATAAATAGCGTAGCTTTTCAACCGAAAGATGACTTCGTAACGCTTCCCTTTATTTATTTAAAGTATTTGTATAATTTTAAAAGAGATTTTATATATATCATAAATGTGCCATACATATATTTATTTATACGTATGGCACATTTATGATATATATATATATATAGATTTATATAATAATTTCAAGGCAGTCTTACCTCACTGGCATTAACGAGCTGCACCGATGCTAGATTCCATGCATCTTCATAAACTTTCCCTGAATTTATATGTTGGAAGAGTGATTCACATGCTTCCTTTGTTTTCCTAAATAACAATTACACAAATAAGATTTCACTTACAATTATAATAACTACCAAAAATAAATAATTCAATTTCAATAACATATCCTAAACCCTGACCGATAACAATCAAAGGGTAACATCATACAATTATTTAAAATTTTGTACAACCGACTTCACTATAAACTATTAAGAATTACCAAAATCTATTGGTCAGACCTTGATTAAATTTATATTGGACCACATGGGAAGCACCAGCTTTCAAATAAAAAAAGAATCATCGAAATCGGTTCACCCAGTAAGAAGTTATGGGGTAACACACATAAAAAAAACATACAGTCGAATGGAGTACCGGCTCCTTTTTGAAGTCGATAGAAAACTATATACCACTAGCTGGTTCGGCAGATGTTGTTCTACCCTTTCCGTTGGGTGGCGTAACAAATTTCACTCCGGACTTTTCACAGTTTAAATATGTATAAAATTTATTATAAATCGACCGTTACACCACCTATTGCATCCTAGCATAACTATGAACCTTCGACCCGACAAAACATATTATAATATATTGTATGTATATGACCTCAATCGGTCAAGTGATTAATTCAAAAGTAACACAATCACTAACAGAGACATCAAAGATTACATCTTTATATATAGGTATAATTCTTCTGTACGTGTGTTTGTCACTTAACCTCTAGCTGGACCAATTTTGATGATATTTTTGGACCCGGTAGGTGGCGCTAATGTAGATATTCAGAAACCACCCGTGCGAAGCCGGGGTTGATCGCTAGTATATTATAAATATGCTTTATCCCATGTTCACGCCCGAACGCTGGTTTCGGAATTTGACGCCAGAGTACAAATTACGTAAAAATAATTTTTTTGTACGTAATAATAAAATTATTTTCCTTTGTTGCGGTTAGCGGGAAGATTTGAAAAGCCGCGCCCGTTTAGTGCGCAAGCGGGAGTTTTTCTAGAGGTATGCGTCATGTAGGTAAATGGTTATTATCACGTAATCGGTTAATTATCGTTGTCGGATAGTTGTAGTGGATTACTTATCGAAGGGTCGATTTCCGAGCGAGGCATTTTTTGTTGATCGACCGTGATGTGTATCTTTAGTCGTATTGTAATTTGTATTTGAGCTAAAGAGTAGTAATTTGTATTTGCGCAATTTGAATTTAACTTGATTTGATCGCACTAGTATTTGTTATTTGTTGATTTGATTTGTGTCTTTTCTTTTGTGCTAACTTGTATTTAATTAATAAGTAGTAGTTCGTATTGGTGTAATTTCTATTCAACTCGATTTGATAGGAACTGCATTTGTTAATTGTTAATTTTTTTTGTATTTGTTGACCTTCGTTGGTCTTTTCGACAGCCTAATGGACGCCCGGAGTGACTTGACCCCGAGCCATAAGATGACGTACCTCCTGGCCTCACTGGAGTGGGAGGCCCTGGGCGTCGTCGGCCACTTAGGATTGTCGGACGACGCCTACCAGACTGCTCGGGACCTCCTAGCCAGAAGATACGCCAACGTTCGGCGAATTGCGGACGAACATGTTAAACAGCTTCTAAGCCTCCCGCTGCTGAGCGACCGGGCCAGACTACGTCTGGACCTGTTGAATCCAGTCTTGGTGGCCTGTAATACGTTGAGGCGGCTGGATTTACCAGTGGGCGAATGGGCCTTTTTGCTGCTCCGCATCGTGCTGTCCCGTCTACCTCTCGACCTTCGAATACATTTTGAGGAGAGGTACGGCGGAGATGGGGCCTCCTATGTTCCGCCCGTCAATGACCTGCTGCGGTTTTTGGAGGAATGCCGGCAAATTGAGAACGCGGCGGGCACCGTTGACGACCTACGAGCCGTGCCCAGTCAGAGGCGGAATCCGCCGGGCAAGTCGTCGTCAACCCCCCCCCCCCCCGGCCTATCGGAGCTCCCGCGGGAGGGCGTCGCTCCGTACCATCTTAGAGTGGCCTAGCGGCCAGAGAGGCGCGCCCCTGCTCCTACTGTCGAGCACCTGATCACCGGGTAACATCGTGCCCGAAATTATTAAGTAAGCCGGCGAGGCGAACTATCGCCAAGGAGCGCCGCTGGTTTTACTCTGTTTGGAAACTGTTCAACTGTTTGAAAGGGCACCTCTAGCGAGACTGTCCGCACCGGCGGCCCTGTCTTCATTGCCAGGACAACCACCATGCAGTTTTGTGCCTGGGTGCGAACGGCGTCTCCTCTCGGGGCTCTGTCAGGCCCTCGACCCCCACGGGCGGGGGCGCTTAGCCACGCCCTCTGACGGGCGACTCTCGGCGCCCGCCGGCCAGCCACCAGGCCCCTAGATTTGAAAGGGGTCCCTCCCCCGACCAGTTGGAGGGTAATTCCCCAGGGGCGGGGGTGTCATCACCCCCCTCAGCGTGTGGAGAGGAATTTCACGGCCACTCATCAGTCCGCTAGACCCTTCTCACTCCCGTTAGTTGAGTGGTCGCGACTGGTGTACCATCGTTCCCCATTTGATGGAGGCGGCCCTAGCTAGCTGTCGCCTTAACTCCCACCACGGCCGCCTCCACTAAGCGTTGAGCCGTCAACAGTCCACTTGTCAACCTGTTCTGTTGCCGACGGCCTCATTGAAGGCGTACTACCCGAGTGGTGACTGTTAGCGGTTTGCGCTCTATTGGTCTCGGGTTCACGCGGTGTGGCCTCCACTTGGTGGTGGGAAGATTAGGGCCCCCCTGGAGCGTTGAATCACGCTGTCAAGGGGTATTAGATTTGGTTTTGGTCGAGTACTTAATTAACGACGCTTTAAATTAAAAATAAAAATGCTTTTGGGTTTACCGCGAAAATTTTCATATTTGTAGCGGTTGTGATTAAAAGGTTGAATTTAATATGCTCCTTTAAATGCTGCTGCATATGTTTTGTAAATATATTTGATCACTGTGTTTGTTGTTGCACGGAAAATTGAAATTGAATGCTTGTGCGTATGTTTTGTAATTGTATTTGCTCATTGCGTCTGTTTTGCTGAAAGGGAAATTTGAATTCATTTGAGATTGAATGACGGGCTGTTTGGAAATTGGTGTATGTTTTGTGATTATGTTTAATCATTTTGCTTGTGAAAGGGAAGACTAAAATTGGATAACCCTATTTGTGCCGTAGGGAGCAAGAGTCACTTCTCTTTTGGTTTACATTTATTGGCACTGTGTAAGATATTTAAATGAGAAGTAGGGCTGCCCCTTACGTTTATTGTTTTGTTTAATTTGCAAGTTGACCTATGTGCATCGGTGATTAATTTGTTTGAATTAATTCTATAGTTGGACATTGATGCTTTTGAAAAATTAGTTGAAATATGAGCATAGGACTACTTGTCTAAAGGGCTAGCTAGTTTGGAGATTATCAGATTGAAATCAGCTGCTGCACTATTTGAGTAAATGATTATATGGTGGATGGCTTGGTTATGCCTACTTGTTTGAAAATTCATACTAGGGACTATCTGTGCGTTTCGTTTGGCTCTCCACAGACGACGTTCATGTGGAATTTGTGGGTGCTCTCTGCACTGAAGCTTAGGAGGCCACGCAGGGCCACTTCGTGTCGCGTCGCTGTTTGCAGACCTGATCCGGTCGGATTGTGGAACGAATCATAGGGGCACAGATAGGTGTTTGAAGGAGGTCGTCGGACTTCTGTCTAGGAATAGGACTTATTTATGTGCTGCGATGTCCAGGAAGGGCATCCAGTTCAACCCTCCGGCTTGCCTGCGTTAGGGCTGTAATTTTGAGGCGTGGGTTAGGATTGCAAGATCTGATGGGGTGCCTAAGGTGGCCTAGTTTGGTTGTAGATTCGGTCTTGCAACTTGCCGTCGCGACCCTGTCCCGCTGACCGGTTTTCTCGCGGACCTAAATTCTTATGTCCGGGACGGGGGTTTGTTCACGCCCGAACGCTGGTTTCGGAATATGACGCCAGAGGGTGCTCGGCTCGGCGCCATACCGGTTTTGACGTTCAGGCGAGGGCGCGCGAGCGCAGGAGTTTTTTGCCAGCTGTGCTTGGGACGGCACGCTGTCATTTTTGTGTGCGCGAACGCGGAATAGTTTAGGCGCGTCTAGTAAATATACTGTCTAGCATTCGTATCGCGCATTCCTTGTTTGAGAACTTTTCCCGGGACTTCTTGTGTCTAACTCAGAATCTGTATAAGGGTATTCGACAATATTAGCTACTACTGCGGCATTTGATATTCTAGAAATAATTGTTGCCACACGAAACAGTAGTGAACTTTGATCCGGACATTCGTGTTCGTGCGGTGTGTTACGTTTTTGCTTATAGTAACGGTATTTCGTATAGACCGACATTCTGCATTTGTGTTGGGTGCTACGCTTTATAACAAATTAGAGTTAGTGGCTTCTGGAAGTTAGTTAATTGTGCGATAAAGTTAAGGACTGTCCTCGTGACGAACGAAGAAAATGACTGTGGACGACTCCGCGGAAGATTACCACAATTTGGAGCGGTGCTGAAGTCCGAGCTGCTGCCGACGGCAACGGTCTCATAAGGTCTACCACACTCAGTCACACACAGATACACATTACTGACCCTTACTTCCCATGCACCAGACAACCGCATGCGACCTGACCGAACCCGGAGGGACCAGTCGCCTTGGATATAGGTAGGTAAGCTCGGTTTTAATATTCTCCCTGTTGAATGGCAGTAGGATAAAACGCTCCCCCTTATTGTTTATTGTAATTAGAGATTTTCCACTTTGGCTTTAGGAGGCCCGAACTGCATCTGCTTGTGGGATCTTCCTTCATGGGCCGGGAAGATCCTACTCTTGGATAGGCAGCTGCACGCCGTAACATCCCATATAAAAGAGATGTCAACAGAACTAATTCACGAGAGTTGAAAGCTGACGACTACTCCTGGTATGAGCTGACAAACTGACATCTTGCGCTAGCAGCGATGAGCTTACCATTAAGCTGATACCATGCATGGTAATGTATTTGGGTTACAAACGGAGAGTTAGGGATAAAACATTTACCTATGTCAACTTTTTGTAATTCACCAGTGGACTAGTTTCAAGTATGTGGTTGTCAGAAAATTCTTACCCTGCAGCGACAGCTTGAAAACCTTCAATAATTCCCCTCGGTGTATTCTCCCACGTGATGTTATTGTTTTTCAAGAACTTGGCTAAATATGACACGGTTGGAGTCAATGACATTCTTTCAGTGGTTTGTTTGTAAGCTTTCACGAGGTATCTGAAATACGAAAAAAGATTCAACAAATAAAGATTCTTCATAAGTCAGAAGTCGCAGGACTTTATACGATTTCCTTTAGTTAACATCTAAATGGGGTATTTAGAATAAACTACCTCTTTTGTTGCCACCACGCTCCAAAATACCTTTAAAATTGTGACCATTAACATTACAGCTTATCAATAGTCCACTGCTAAACATAGACCTCCCCATAGATTGCCTCATGGCAACTACGGCAAATATATGCCTTAACCATAATGTCACAAAAATTTTGACATCGTAGTTTGAGTTTGAACTAATACTGGTCAGAGTATCAAGAGAGTAGAGTAACCTAAGTACGTAGGTCACTCAATAAGTTTTGAGTTGCACGAAATTTAAAAATGGAACGCACCCGCGTTATATGTTTCTAAAAAGCAAATTTATTTCAAAATTGGCTTATGGAGTTCTATTTTTAAATAAATTTGCTTTTCAGAAACATATAACGCGGGTGCGTTCCATTTTTAAATTTCGAGCATCTCAAAACTTATTGAGTGATCTACGCAAAAGAATGCATTGCTATCTATCGGAGGCCATTACGAATTTTAAGTTTATATACTGGCAAAAGATTAAACTTACCTGGCGGTCTGCAACAACATGACAGTGTACTCTCCCTCGTAAGTTACAGTAGCTGTAACTATACCATATATAATCGGTAGGTTGGAAGACACCATATAACCGTGACCCCCACAGGCGTAACGGCATTGCTCTACGCAAGCTGTCGCATCTCTGCTGCACACAGCCTTCAAACAGCATGCTAGAGCGTGCAGCTACAATGTGAAGGCAACAAATAAAATAACTACAAGATAGCGACATTATGAAAATATATTTTTAGATAAGAGATTGGTAACCCCTGGTTTGTTTTTCTCTGTCGCCTCTTACGACTTGTCTTGATGGGCAGTAGCCTTCCTAATAACAACTAAAAAATAAAAAACAGCGGCTGCCAACCCGCCTGCTGTGCCTGATAGTGCTATTTTCGTCACGCTAGTGTGACGGAAATAGCACTATCTATGATCGCTATCGCCCAATGATATGGGGCAATCAATGGGCGCGGCATATGATCAGCAGTAGAAGTTTAATATATACGAGTATAGGCTGTAACGATACCGCGGTGAGAAAGAATTAATATTAACGAATCGGCCGCCGGTCGAAAATCGATGAATGCAGATCAGTTCAGGATCATGCGTTGTGGCATTATTGGGAGAGCCCTATGTTCAGCAGTGTGAAAAGCTGTAATATTCGGAATGATGATTGAAATTTAATCATATATTTGTATTTCGTAATTAGCTCAAGTGACTCCTGCTCCGCTTTTGCAGTTACTTTTGATTTGACCCACGTTATAATCAATAAGTAAAGAAAAACAATTATGGCTACCTCTGGCAACTGGTCCATGTTCCCTTTCCCCATATCGGCGACAACTTGATTGTAAGTATTCCACAACCATCGGCCAACGGTTCTGAACGCGAGGCTAGTTGCAATCGAAATAAACAGCTTATGCTGCTGTGTGACGTAGTCCAAAATCTGTGGTTCCGGTTCCCTGATAATAATAGAAATAATAATATAACGAGTGTAAGTACCAATATTATTCAACATGTTTCAATATTTCCAAGAAACTCAACTTAATTATAGCATTGTTACAAATGGCCAATAACTATTAACTATTAATATATAAATAGAATGTATTATACGTGATAGAGCCATGCTTCAGCTATACCATAGCTGTAGTGCGAATGGGTCAGTTCTGGGTCACTTAGAGAATACCAGCGTAAAATAGCAGCTCAATGCTGCTGTGTTTTGTAACATACAAAACACAGTGCGTGTAGAAAAACAGAGACCCTTTTCACTGGATATGAGGCATTCCATCATAGTCCTCAGGGGTAACAACGCATCTGCATTTTGATTCTTAAACGAGGATAGATGTAGATATCTATGGGCCACAGCATCCACTTACCATCAGGTGGGTTGTGTGCTCGCTTGTCACCGTTATTCCATTAAAAAAATGTTGGTATTTTAACTTTTAAAAAGTTACAACCAACATGGAAAAATAAAAAAATAAAGAAAAATTCCCACATAAATAACTTCCAAAGTCGGTGCTTAGACACAGTATATCAAAGAATTCAAGCCAAGCTTTTCAACTTTTTTTAAAAAGTTAATTATTTAACCCCTTAAGTGGACTAAGCAATATCACATGCTTAAGGTGACAAGCAGAATGTCCACTAAACAGCACCCCTTTGGTGTTGAATCTTCTTCCAATTTAAACAACATACTAAAAATACAGTGGAATTGTAAACCTTCTTAATTTTTGAAGTCGCCCAAAATAGACAATATAGAAAGAAAAAAAGATAAATCGCAGCTCTTTACGTTAATATTTGCCACCACTGAAGAAGTTGTTCTTAAAACCAACCCAGACAGACCTAGATAGAGAAGGGACCCTACATCAAGTGAATTTAACCACCATCTAGAAAATCTTTACCTTCCGTCCCTTTAATTTATTTATTTAATCATTTATGCACAAAAGAAAAAACGTACATATGACGGAATTAATGCCTTAAAGCCTTTGGCCTAATGGCCTTTTCGATCTATGTTAATGACTTACCCAGGTTTAAGCTGAGACTGATGTCTGACAGCAGAGTATCTCACAGCTATAGTCACGGCTTTTGATAATTCATAAGCGACGTCCGTCAATATGGTCACTCGAATATACACCATGGTTCCATATGTCAGTTTGTTGTTTTTGGCCTTTACATACGTCCCGTCCTATAAATTGTAATTGTATAATTGTATTAAAATGAAAAGATAACGTCAGAAAGTCAATCATGCGTAATATATATGAATTGGACAGCTCGACTAGGAATGGATCTCACTCTAACAGAACTCCAGAGTAATGCTGTTGTTTCACGCTGACTTACAAATAAAAAGTATTACGCTGACAACGATACTGTAGTTTGATTCTCATTTGGGGATTGATGTATGTGTCTGTGAGCCCCAATATCTGCTTACCATCAGGTAGACTTTTGCTTGTTTGTTGCCCTTATATATTTATGAAAAAAAAAATGATTAAAAAAAATTAAAAAAATGTTAGAAAAGAGTCGAATCAAAATTATTCTATTTATTTCTATTCTATTCAATTTTATCCTAACCTATTCTATTCTATTCTTTTCTATTCTATTTTATTGCTACAATTTGTATTTTTCAAATTTACAGTATAATAATTTTTTTTAGTTAATCTTTATAAAAGCAACTACACAAAAATTTGCTTCAGTATATTTAAAAAGGATACTATTTGGGAAGCGCGTTGAAAATTCAGTCATCATCATCATCATCATCATCATTACAGTCCTTCACAAGTCTACTGCTGAACATAGGCCTCCCCCAACGACTGCCTTTAAGCATGGTCTTGAGTCACCCGTATCCGTCGACTTCTTGTATGTCTTACCAGGTCATCACTCCATCTAGTGGGTGGCCGCCCCACATTTCGTCTACCGGTACAAAGCTGCCACTCGAGAATCTTTTCTCCTCATGGGTTCAGTTCTTCGAGCTATATGGCCGACCCATTGCCACTTCAGCTTACTAACCCGTTGTTCTACGTCGGTTACACTGGATTTTCTGCGGATACCCTCATTTCTAATTTTATCATGCAGTGTTCGCGCCCCTTTGTAACTATCACTTAACGCCTATGAAATTTGTTAATTATTATCCAATAATAATACCGCAATGCCCATTTCCGGGTTTCCTATCTACTGCTTTTTATGCCTAGCATGTGCACTCTTGTGTTAACAGGGTTCTCACAAGCTCGCAAGACACGAAAACAACGGCATCGCCTCTATCTCGTCTAATCACTCCAGCCTTTGTGTGGTTTAGATGTTGAATTATACAAGAACATAACAAATGATGGGGGAACACACCACCGACCATCCCGCGGTGTGGGTGTTCCATGCCGGATATGCGGTTTACACAGCGCTCGGTTCGTAAAGCACTCCTCTCCCTGCACGTCAGCAAGTCGAGTGGGCCTAATGGATTCCCTCCCATTGCGCTGTAGACGTGTAATTATGCAAATCAAGCATAATTACAAAGCACTTATTGAAATTTAGAAGTCCAAACCATTCAACAAGTCTCTACTACAGGAGACCTTGTGAGAAAAAGCAGCAAAAAGTCACTAGTAGACTATTCTCTCCAAACAGTTACAATTTAGCCTTATCCATTTTTACTTATATATAAGTAAGAAAAGTTAAGGAAGCCAATTAAATCAAATCCTAATTATAAAATAATCATCTAATTTATACTATCCTTTCTTCTAACACTTTTTACATGCGCTTTAAAGTTACTTAAAGTTAAACATTTACCCAAAAATAAGCCATTAATGTAATGGAGTCTGTACTTGGGAACACCAAGTTTTGACTTATTGTTTATGCCCAAATTTGGCCATGTTGAACGCCCTCCAATTGCTTTCGAGCTGTCGCGTCACCCGATAGTATGTAGGTGAAAAAACGCCGCCAGGTGGGGCGGCGGTGTGCGGCTGGGAGTAAGTCGCTCGACGCGTGGGCGAAAGGTCGGTGGCCCGCTAGCCACGATGCGGGGAGACCATCAAGCCCTCTTCCCTAAATTCACGGGCCCGTCGTGGATCTAGATAGCTAGATGAAGATATCGTTATAATTGGGTCGCCGCGTTAGTGCCTTTTGTGTTTTGGTTGCCTAGTTAAATTAATTTGCGTGTCAACGAGGCGTATTTTGACTCTGGCGCGACGTGTTATTCTGGTGCCGAATTTATAATTTGTGATAAGTGAATCCGGGACATTCAATGTCGAATTTTGTGCTACTGTCCTTGCCGTGTCGGATATCACGTGTTCGATTCTGAATTCTGAATGAGTGTGGAATTAGGCGAATTGAAGTTAGTTAAATGTACAATGAAGCTAAGAGACTGAATAGTGACAGTAAAGAAAGAAGTGGTCCGGCGCTGAAGCAGTCTGGAGCGACGCAGCATTTTGGAGCAGCCTGGAACTCGGCCGCTGCTGGTCGCCTATGCTTGCCAAGGCCCCACACATTCACACCTCACTGTACACGACTCGCTATCTACCATTACACACACTCACGGCCTGCCCAAGCCTTGGAGCGAAGTTAGCTCCTGATACAGGTAAGTACCTTTGCTTTCTAGTTTGCTCCCATATAGTTTATTGTGATAGGAAATTCCATGCGGCCATATTGAGGCCCGACCTGCGTCTGCCCGTCGAAGAAGCTGCTATGGGCCCCAGCCAAGACGACCTTTGCAAGGGCAGCTGTAAGCCGTAACACTTATAGTGCGAATTAAAATGATGAACATCACTCAATTTGTCAAAGATCAACACACATCGTATTTTCGAAAGTCATAGGACTCTGTACAAACCTTTAACACTTGAGAATTCTTCATAAGCATATTCGTCCTGGGTATCCGATAATTATCAAATCCTAGGAACCCGTTGTTGGCCGTCTGGAAACCAAGTTTTGGTCCAATTTCTCCTACTTTTATACCAGGCATTGGCATATGTGTTTCCATGTCACGTATTTGCACCAAGAAGGGATGTATACCATAATTTTTCCCTTTAATATGAAGTTGAGCCATAATTATACAGTGGTTTGCAGTTTGTGCCACTGAAAAGAAGATAGTCAACTGCTTATACAAGGTGACAAGCTGATTTTAAAGACCATTATTGTTATAATTGTATATTTATATTCTTATAAACTAATACTCAAACGCTGCTCAATTTTAAGATGCCGTTGAGTCGCGTGCTGTCTCTATCATTTTAACTCAAACTGACTGTGACACGACGAGACTTAACGACATCTTACAATTGAGTAGCGTTTGAGTGTTTGGCTATTAGTCTCTTAATTCAGCCGGTAGTCATTGATTTTTCAAAAATATGGCAGCCTCTATAATGTATCTAAATTGTTGCTAACAAAAAAAATATTTTTAATCATGGGTGATGAGAAACAGCCAATAATCTTTTTATTATTATTCTATTTAGTGAGGATAGTCATTAATTATTAAAACAAACACAACTACAATTACAAATTACGTGTCTTCTATGTATATTGCATTTTTTAATTCTCATACATTTTCATTAGTACTGAACGTTCCAATGACAATATTAGTTGGATTAATAATATTATAAAGAATTTTAAGGAAACTTACAGCCCCCAGGCCACCATTTGTAAGATGTAAGTGTAGGACTGTGGATGACGAATTCTTCCGTATCAGAATCATATGTAGCCGTGGTCTCTAAACCTCTCAGAAACGTTCCATGTCCGAGCTCAGTCTACAAATAAGAAATTATTTGATAATATCACATTTTTACTTTCAATAATCAGATATCACGAATTATTGTTACACAAGCTCAACAGATATGGTATACCTAAGAGGTAATGCACTAAAATTAATAGAGATTATTTAAGTCAACGAAAACAGTGCGTTGAGATATCAAGCTACTCTAGACATCGTAAAAAAATTATATATCACCATATCGCGAAAATAAATGCGGAGTTCCGCAAGGAAATATACTAGGACCTCTATTATTCATAATATACATAAACGATCATTCCAATATAACTACACATAAATGTGTGCTGTATTCTGATGATATTACCAATAATATTGAAAATAATAATAAACCTTTTGCCTACGAATACGAAATAAATATTACTTTAGAAAAAATAATAGATTGGTTAAGCCATAATAATTTACAAATTAACATCGGAAAAGCTAAAATGATAAGATTTCAGACATATAATAGCAAACAAGCACCACTTAAAATCGAATATGGGAAAAACGTCATCGAAGAAGTTGACCATACCAACTTTTTAGGTATAACAATAGACAAGTTCTGTAATTGGAAGACACATATTGATAACCTATGTAGAAAGTTAGATAAATTTGTCTTTGTTCTATATCGTTTAAGACGAGTGGCTAACATAGAAGCCGCACTTTCTGCTTATCATGGATATGTTTCTTCGATCCTATATTACGCCTTAATAATTTGGGGTAATTCTGTCGATTTAATTAGAGCTTTTCGCGGGCAAAAAAAATGTGTAAGGTCTTTGTGCGGAGCACACTAATTAGATAGTTGTATTCCCCTTTTCGCAAACATAAAATATTGCCGCTTCGTGCATTATACATATAGGAAATTTGTGTCTTTGTTCACAAATATAGTAATTTATTTGAAAAACAAAATGACGTTATAATTAGGATACATAAATTGTGTGTACCAAAGCAAAGAATACAACTTTACTCAAAAAATGTATATTGTATGGCAATACATGTTTACAAAAAATTGCCTGTTTGTGTCAAAAAAATGGATATAGGAATCTTTAAAAGTAAATTATATCAATTTCTTTTAAATAAATGTTATTACTCTATAAATGACTTCTTAAATGATAAATTTGACTTGAATTGTAATTATTGAAATTAATCTCGACTTAATTTATTGACATGTTTTAACTAAAAAACATTTTTGTTTTTATATAGATGCTATTTAGTTTCCTTAAGTATAGCTGTAAGTATATTTATATTGTACCGGGTGTCCAGTAAGGGTACCGGGTATTTGACAGTTAAATAAAATGAGAAATATAATTAATTAAATATATCCTTTATTTTTAATTCAAAAACAGTTTCTTGGAAATTTATTTGGCGAATATAACATTATCTAAATGTGTACCCCCACGCTGCTGGCACTCCTCTAACCTTGAACGCAGGTTGGCGACGACGCGTTGACAAAGCAAAGTTGGGATTGCCCTCATCTCTGACGTGATGTTCTCCTTCAATTGACTCAGATTCGTTGGGTGGTATATACCTTACCCTTAAGATATCCCCATAAAATAGTCGAGAGGACTAAGATCTGGACTTCTGGGGGGCCAATTAATGGTACCCCTACGCGAGATAATTTTGTTTGTGAACAATTCTTTTATAGCTTCTATTGCCCGCCCCTGCGGTGTGACATGTGGCTCCATCTTGCTGAAACCATGTTCTTGAATTAAAACCTAGGAAATCTTGTAATGCGGGCGCCAAAAAAGTCCTTAACATGTCACAATAACGGTCTGTATTCACCGTAACTGCTCGCCCACATCTGTCTTCATGGAAAAAGGGGCCGATTATGCCTCTACCAGAAAAGGCGGCCCAAACGATGACCTTTGGACTATGAAGTGGCCGTTGATGTTTTGTTTTAGGATTTTGCTTGGACCAGTAGCGACAATTCTGTTTATTAACGTGACCGTTAAGGTGGAAATTGGCCTCGTCGCTAAACAGAATATTGTCAAAGCTGTTAAATCGCTCTAGCATTTCAGTAGCAAAATTTAACCGACTTTCATAATCGGAATCCTTCAGTTCTTGGACTAACTGGATTTTGTAGGCTGTGAGATGCAAATCTTTCTTCAAAATTACCTGCAGTGAAGATTTTTTGATGTTTAGTTCTTGTCCTCATTTGCGAATTGATACCGACGGATTTTCACGTACTGAAACTCTCACTTCTTCGATTGTTTCTGCATCTCTAACGCTTCGCGGGCGACCTGTATTTTGAAATTTAACAGTCGACCCGGTATTCTCGAACATTTTAATCCACTTTCGTATGACATCGTCGCTTGGCGCTGTACGTATGCGATATTCTCTGCGATATAAACGCTGAGCAGTAACAATGGAATCGTTATTGCGATAATACGCTCGCACGCAAAAAGCGCGATGCGTTCCGGGATACGGCTCCATGGCAACTAAAATTCCACGTTCCACGAACTGACGCGCGCGACGTTGCCCTCCCCGCACCCCTGCTACTTCACTTGACGCCGTGAACCAATAAACAAAATCTGTCTGAAAATATTTGTACGCAGGAAACTGCAGAATATTTAGGATCTGAATTATTGTGTAACAACTTAAATGTACCATATTCTAACAAATAAATCATCTTATCTTATCTATAATATTACTGAGAATTTTACTGCGTATAGAAATTCATATCCGTATGTCTATAATATCCCTGAGCCGTCAAGAAATAAATAATGACCTGGTCCGTTTTGACTACGATAACATTTCGAATTTGCCGTGAGATGTGGTCATGAGGGAATCTATCACCCTCTTCCGTCCCCAAGGGTGTCGTAAGAGGCAACTATTAAAAATACCAGAACGATCTTACGCCTTCCGAAAAACGGCGGTATAACCATCATGTTCGTCGCAATACCAACCGGCGAAGAGGAGTGGTGACGAGGAGCGGTGACGAGGAGCGGTGACGAGGAGTGGTAACGAGGAATGGCGACCAGTAGCGGTGACGAAGTGTGGTGACGAGTAGCGGTGACGAGGAGTGGTGACGAGTAGCGGGGACTAAGAGTGCTGACGAGGAGTGGGACTAAGAGTGCTGACGAGGAGTGGAACGACGAGCGGTGAAGAGGAGTGGAGACGAGGAGTGGTGACAAGTAGCGATGACGAGGAGTGTTGACGAGTAGCGGTGACGAGGAGTGGTGACGAGTAGCGGGGACTAAGAGTGCTGACAAGGAGTGGTACGACGAGCGGTGAAGAGGAGTGGTGACAAGTAGCGATGACGAGGAGTGTTGACGAGTAGCGGTGACGAGGAGTGGTGACGAGTAGCGGGGACTAAGAGTGCTGACGAGGAGTGGGACGACGAGCGGTGAAGAGGAGTGGTGACGAAGAGTGGTGACGACGAGTGGTGACGAGGACTGGTGACGACGAGTGGTGAAGAGTAACGGTGATGAGGAGTGTTGAAGAGGAGCGGTGACGAGTAACAGTGAAGAGTAGTGATGACGAATAGCGGCGTTAATGGCGCGATACGTCTGATACTGCAATTGCTAATCAGCATACCATGATGATTTAAACAAATCCTCCCTACAACAAAAGAGGACAATGTTTAACAGTGGACTTTCACAGGCTAATGACGATGATGATATATTACACGTATAAAAGTAGCAATAAAAATATACCTGAGCATAAGTTCCAATCATCTGCGAACTTTTCTGTAGCCATTCAAGCTGCTGTTCGGGGGAGGCTTGTGAAAATATTGTTGGCAAAAACATTCCAAAATGAAGTATAAACGGTGAAATGTCCTTTATTATTGCCGTAGCGATTTTGTAGTTGTTGGAAATTCTAAAAATAAATTTAAAAATAATTTAAGCTAGAAGCAGTTTTGCAGCAGCCGCCTTCAAACTAGAACTCCCCCTAAACTTGGTGACAGCGCTTCTATGACCTTCTTAGTTTGTAGTCGGTTGCTGGTTTCTGTACCTTGCAATAGAAATTTAGCTGCTGTTTTGCGCTGATATTCCGTGGCAACGTGGTCCTTTCCCGGTCGAGCCTACTCATTTGTGCTACAGCTACAATATAACTACACCGCAGCTCTACCACGTGTAGATAAATATAAAAAAGAGAAATATTAAATTGCTAGTCGCTACTCAGCCAGTATCCTCAGTCAGTTGCCTCAGCCAGTATCGGTATCCTCGGAGTCGACATATCGAGTGACGTGCAGTTTCGTGGTCACTTGGAAGGGAAGGCCAAATTGGCCTCTAAAAAGCTTGGCGTGCTCAGCAGAGCGGGACAGTATTTCATGCCGGCACACCGCCTGCTACTTTACAAGGCGGAAGTTCGGCCTCACATGGAATACTGTTCCCATCTCTGGGCAGGGGCTCCCCAGTGCCAGCTCCTTCCACTTGACCGCATCCAACGCAGAGCGGCTCGAATTGTCGACGACCGAGCCCTTTCCGATCGGCTCGATTCATTGGCACTGCGAAGAGATGTTGCATCCCTTTGCATTTTCTTTCGCATCTACCATGGGGAGTGCTCTGAGGAATTGTTCGGATTAATCCCAGCCGCCAAATTTCACGAACGCACATCGCGGCAGAACTCCCGATACGATCCACACCATCTGGATGATTGGCGGTCCACCACTGTGCGATTTAGAAGATGTTTTCTTCCTCGCACGACCTCCTTGTGGAATCGATTACCATCGGCGATTTTTCCGGACCGATACGACTTAGGGACCTTCAAGAAAAGAGCGTACTCCTTTTTAAAAGGCCGGCAACGCATCTGCGATTCCCCTGGTGTTGCAGTTGTTCATGGGCGGCGGTAGTCACTTACCATCAGGTGAGCCGCATGCTCCGTTTGCCCCCTCTCCTATAAAAAAAAAATACTATACATGTTTGTGTTTGGACAGTTTAATCTAAAAAGTCTACTTACCTGGAATCTGGGGGGGGACTTCGTTCTATTGACCGTCGTAATAAAAGCGAGTACAGGATGCATGCTTTGCGCACTGCGTTCTCGTAACGCTCCTTATGGCTTAAATACTCCTCTGGCACCTCATCTCTGAGCTCTTCATTGCTTAATACATATTCCTCTAAAAAGATTTTTAAAAGTAAATTCTTTGTTAATATAAAAATAAGAATTGAATGTATGTGGTACTCGTATTTCAATTATCTTATTTTTTCTTCTTTACTATGGACACTAATCTATACTAATTTAATAAATTGGAAGAGTGGTTTTATTTTTTGTTTGTTTAAGCACGCTAATTTCTGGAACTACCCGTCCTATACTAAAAAAAATCAGTACAAGTATTAAAAAAACAAGTACAGACGGGTAGCCTATACTACTCCTCATGTATTATATTACTTTTATTACGACTATACCTCTCATCTAGCCTTAAATGCTAATGTTAAGCAAGTGGGCAGAAAAAGCGCTCCCAAACTGCGACGTATATCGGCGTGCGCTGGCGTAAAGGATAGTGATACGTAAATACAATGTTTTTTTTTTATAGAATAAGGGTGACAAACGAGCAAACAGTTCATCTGATGGTAAGTGGTTGCAGTGACCCATAAACATTTACATATATCCTCAATAAAGAATCAAAATGTAGATGCGTTGTCACCCGTGAGGACTGCCGCTTTTCCAGTAAAACGGGTCTACGGTTCTCTACACTCACCATACGAAACACAGCAGTGTTAAGCTGCTATTTTACGCTGGTATTCTGTGAGGCCGTGGTCCTTCCCCGGTCGAGCCGACCCATTAGTGCTACAACTATACAATTAATATAGCTGCAGCATGACTCTACCACGTGTATACAACCTTTAGGGGTAAATATTTTTTTGGATTTGGTAACACTGCCACGATATCTCCTCTTCTACAGCTAATATATACAATAATCTACGTTCTCCTATCTCACTTCAACTACTAACGTCATTGCTATTTCAGTTTACAAACACGTAAGGCCATATCAGTAATCTTGGTTCTCCGACGGATTTCTTCATAAATGTTATCCATCAGAAAAACTTTCCAAATACAAAAATATTAATAAAAATTCTATCAGTTATTATCAACCGTTGTATAAAGGTGCGTGTGCATATACGTACAGTTATTATATTATCTTTGGTTGATTATTACTCTAGAGCTCTAGACAATTTTCAGTTAACATAATATGATTTTAATCTCTGAATTTTATAAACCAAAAAAGACTTGGAAATAATTAGTATTATATTGTATATCTTTATATTTGTTTGCTTATATAATTCATTCACATGCTCACTTCTTCTATCTATTTTTGAACTTACCAATTTCTTTTCTTTCTAAAGTATTTTGTTCTCCGCCATCTATTAGATGCGTTAACTCTTCAACATTAAAACTACACTTTTTTCTTTCTCTAATCAAATCTTGGTTCACTTTGATGTCCTTCATTCTCGTACCTAAAAGAATAATCTTGTTTTGATTTCTTGTTCAAACAACGACGGAGGTTTCTACAATGTTATTACATTTTTATCTTATTGTACATTGATTACTGAATGAATATATCTACAGGCTTTAATCAGCGTTAACTTCTGACATATTATATTCTGCTCTTATTTGGGAGACAACGCTTTTCTATATAATCATTGATTTAAATTCGAGCTATTTACGGAAACTAGCTTTGTGCCCAGCATGATCACGTTCTGTGTTCGCTGTGAAACTGCTTGGCAGCTATCACTGCATAACTAAAAAGAAGACCTATTTTAGTACTTGTACGCGCATATCAATTACTAGCTGATATCCGCTCGCTTCGCTGGGTGCACGATAATGTTTTATTGTGGAACCTATAATAATTTTTTTTATGAGACTATCGTAAAATCCGTTCTTAGTGAGTTCATAGCGTAATGAGTAGCTATATGGTCCCCACACACGGTCAGTTAAACTGACATCAGTTCAACTGATCATTTCAAACGGATTTAATCCAAAACCAGTTCGACACACACGGTCAGTTCAAACTAAGACTGTTGATATTTTAAAAATATCGGGTTTTCAATATATCGATAATTATAAATATATCAATATCGAAGTTTTATATATCGAAAACATAAGCGATATATCGATGCTTATTGCTTAAAACGATTTACACAGTTTATAATTTAGTATATTTATTAAACAAATTAAATTATAAATGTATTAAAATGTTAGGTTATAGTTCTTAGTAATTATTAATGAGCCGTGGTAGCTTAGCTGGATAGCACTCGCTGTAAATTTCACAGTACGCGAGCAACCCGGGTTCGATCCCCGCTGGCACCAATGAAATCGTTAATTGCAATTTTAAGTGCTGATGTACCACGTGCTCGGCGGAAGGAAAACATCGTGAGGAAACCTGCATGTCTGAGGAATAAAATAAAAATTTCGAAAACGTCAAGTTCGCCAACACACATTGGGGCAGCGCGGCGGTCGTTTCCTTGCCCCAAAACCCTCTCAGAAATGAGTAGAGGCCTGTGCCCAGCATTGGGACGTATATAGGCTGTAAATTTAACTTAAATTATTGTTTAATTTAAATAAGACAATTATGTTTACCAATATTTTTCAGTAAGAGTTTTCAAAAATACTCGTTGTTTTATATGTTCAACTGTTTCAATACTGCGATTATTGGGCACTAAAAGATTGATTGTAGAAGTAATTCGTTCAGTTGCTACGAATGTAGCTGAAGAAGTCAAATATTTTACAGCTATTTCTGATAGCACGGAAGTAAATCATAAGACGCCTAATAGACTAGGAGATGGTGACAGAAAATAGTCTCCCATTTTCTACTGCATGCCTTTTTAAGAATTGATAACTAACCCTGAAATATGAAAGATAGAGTTGTTACGAGCCCTTGCGCACAAAAAGAAAATGGCTTCTCTTTGTGTAAAGAATTTTAGTATTTTTCCGTGACATTATATTGCATGCCTTTGTAATATAACGTAGTTGGTACAAATTTAAGGTATAATAATTGATGGCATGCAATTCGCAACTGCCGACAGGGCTCAAAGGGTTACGTAGAAACGAAAAAAAATGAACATTTCTGTGTTTACAAATTGCATGCCGTTGTAAAAAATTAGTTTTTTACAACGGCATGCAACGGTTAGTGCAAATTAAAAACACGGAAAGGTTTGATATATTTAATGAAACTTTCATTATTATTTAAAATACGATCGTGTTATTTAATATACATGCCATTTTCGGTATATACTTAAAATAATATGTTTTTATGAAATACAAAACGGCATGCAAATTAAAATCACGGAAAGGTTTCATATATTTTATGAAACTTTCATTATTATTTAAAATACGATGGTGTTATTTAATACGCATGCCATTTTCGATATATACTCAAAATAATATGTTTTATGAAATGTAAAACGGCATGCAAATTAAAAACACGGAAATGTTTAATATATTTTATGAAACTGTCATTATTATTTAAAATACGATGGTGTTATTTAATACGCATGCCATTTTCGGTATATACTTAAAATAATATGTTTTTATGAAATACAAAACGGCATGCAAATAAAAAACGCGGAAATGTTTATTAAATTTTTTGCAACTTTTGTTATTATTTATAATATAATGATCAAGTGCAACATGCATGCCATTTGTATTTCAGAACTATTTGGTCATAAAATTAATATTTATCCTTATTAGAAGTAGTTTGAAATCACGGAAAAGTTGTATTGATTTTCATAACATTTTCCTAATATTTTCCACCCTTGGTCATATGAGGGGTGCATGCCAATTTTTGTAGAGTATTTTTGACTAAAAAAAAATTAATTTTTTACAACGGCATGCAATTTTTAAATACGGAAATGTTCTATTTTTTTTTTCATTTCTACGTAACCCTTTGAGCCCCGTCGGCCGTTGCGAATTGCATGCCATCAATTATTATACCTTAAATTTGTTCCAACTACGTTATATTACAAAGGCATGCAATATAGTGTCACGGAAAGATACTAAAACTCTTTACACAAAGAGAAGCCATTTTCTTTATGACGTGCAAGCGCGCAAGGGCTAGTAACCCCTCTATCTTTCATATTTTAGAGTTAGTTATCAATTCTTAAAAAGGCATGCAGGAGAAAATAAGAGACTATTTTCTGTCACCATCTCCTGGTCTATAAGCGATCAAAATAACTTGAGGCTTATACCAACATTGAAGCACTTGTTTCGTCGTTTTCTCTAATAGTTCACATGCGCAGACACTTATTTTTTTTAAAGGATAGGGTGACAAACGAGCACACAGTCCACCTGATGGTAAGTGGTTACTGTGACCCATAGACATCTACATCTATCCTCAATAAAGACTCAAGATGCAGATGCGTTGTCACCCGTGAGGACTAAGATGGAATGTCTCTTTGCCAGTAAAAGGGGTCTCCGGTTCTCTACACGCACCATACTAAACACAGCAGCGTTAAGCTGCTATTTTACGCTGGTTTTCTGTGAGAGCGTGGTCCTTCCCCGGTTGAGCTGACCCATTCATGCTACAACTATACTACTACTACTACTATCGCATCACTTTGATAAAAATTCACTTCAAACGATTATTTAAACGATAAAACAGGAGCAACTATCCGTCGATGGTCAAGTTTCTGCCAAAACTCACAGTAAATAAAGTAGTACTAAGTTTCATAGATTATAGTAATTTTAATATCACAGAAATATACTATACAAAATTACTTTTATTTTTAAGATAATAAGCAAATTAATAAACTGGGGAAAAATGAAAAACATAATATAGTGTAAATAAAGTATACCAGATAGGGTCCATCAAGGATTAAGATTTAAATTTACGATGGTGTTGCAGATTAAATGATTTACGTGAAAAATTTTTTTTTAATTAAGTTAAATAAAGACACTTTTAAGGGATGGGTAAGATATTATGATAATTTTATTCATTATGGTAAATTTTATTTATTTAATAAATGTGTTATTTATTTTTATCTGTTTATTAAATTACCTATCTGTAGAGCCGGCGACACCCCACTGATACTAACTTGCACTCCGGTTACGGTGAGCCCAAAAAAATCCGTGGGCATGGGCACATTCTGAAGGTCTTATGATGACCAGATAATGCTTATAGGTTTTCAGTAACGGAAATAGGATTGCCTAGCTTTCTATGTTTATCTAATTGAGCTCTCGACGTGTTACTTACTAAAATAAAGTTGAAGCACCCAAACGTCACAAATTAAAATAAGTTAAATTAAACAAAATAAAATCCGAAAAGTTTGTTTTATTAAATGTGTAGCATTCGTATAATAAATCAGTCAAAAATCATTGAACTCTAAATTTTTTTCGTCTTCTGGTTGTAGTTGGTTATGCTTTTTCCGTTCTATCTTGTTCTATTCTATCCGGCCGCGCGCAACCAACTCAGCCGCAGAATAGAATAGAATAGAATAGAATAGAATGATTTTTATTCAATATGGATTATTACATAATACTTATTGAAAGTCATTATTTTATTTACCACTGGTTCGGAAAATACCTCTGTCCTGGGAAGAACCAGCAAGAAACCCAGCGGGACTTTTTTTTTAAACATAATTTCACTTAACATTAATTTTGTTCATACAATTTTAAATGAATTTTCATAGAACCAGCATGGTGGCGATCACCTTATTCCCAGGGGTTATTTTCATTCATGTATTCCTTGATATTATAATAACCCTTTTTGTACAGTTTTTCTTTAATAAAACTTTTAAACTTGTTTATTGACAAACTTTGAACATGTTCTGGGATTCTGTTGTAAAAGCGTATACATTGCCCCATAAATGAATTACTAATTCTGTGGAGTCTTGTAAGTGGCATTACAAGCTTATGTTTGTTCCTAGTGTTTAAGGTATGAACATCCTTATTCTTATTAAAGCTATTTATGTTTTTATGTACATACATTACATTTTCATAAATATATTGCGATGCCAAAGTTAATATGTTTATTTCTTTAAATTTTTCTCTAAGGGACTCTTTACAATTTAGATTATAAATCGCCCGTACGGCTCTCTTTTGCAAAACAAATATAACTTCAATATCAGTCGCATTACCCCATAGCAAAATTCCATAAGACATTACGCTATGAAAGTAACTAAAATACACTAACCTAGCTGTCTCAACATCTGTGAGACTTCTAATCTTTCTTACAGCATATGCTGCAGAACTAAGTCTGCTTGCTAATTTAGATATATGGGGGCCCCATTGAAGTTTCGCGTCAATAGTAATACCGAGAAAAACAGTGGTCTCCACAAGACTCAACTCCTCCCCATTTAAGAGCACATTGGTTTTCGAATGTTTTACATTAGGTATTGTAAATTTAATACATTTTGTCTTATTGCCGTTTAACAGCAAATTGTTCAGACAATACTAACTTCGACCACGCGTCGAGCGACTGACCGCTCGGCCGAGAGAACCGCCCGAGAGAG